GATGTTGCATGGAGCTTGGTGCGCCAGACCCCTAAATTCGCCCGTGAAATGATTATGTTCGCGTACGACAATGTCTTTTTCCTCGAATTTTTTCTCACAAATATGGCAAACATCAGTTGCGACGCCACTGGTGTTACCCGGCTTCACCACCATTGGAACGATATTTTTAATTTTAGATTGCACTAATTTGGCAACGTCAGACATTTCTTTCGCAAACCAATCCATGCAATCCTCGCCCCGATAACTTTTATAAAATGAAAGTGAATCATCATAGGCACATTTTAAGTAATACCCAGCACTATAGGTCTTATGGTGCTGGTACTTCAAAGTTGTTTTAGATATTTTTGAATTGCATTTTTGTAATAGCGATTCAAAATCTGCATAAATTATAAAAGGACATGTCTGTTTATAGATGTGGTTCTTGAATTCGACAAAATCATATTTTGGAAAAGAAATTTTTTCATTATTGGTTTTCTCACATAAAGCAGTGTGATTATCGAGCTTCTCCTGACTCATGAAATAGTTGAGACATCTGTCACAAAGATATTTTTTGTTACGATCTTTGTTGAGTTGTCTGGATAGCAAACGTGACAAGTCTTTTATCCAGCAGTAGTGGTATCTGATTGAAATATCTTCATCATGAACAGGCGGGGCTTCATAATCATTTAATTTGGGGAAATATTTATCTTGAATCAATAATAAATTAACATGTCTATCCAATTTATGTTTGGTTAATCTGATGGGCACGACTGAGTGATATTCTTTGTCTCTAATTGTATTCAATTCTAAGCCATAAACATTAATGGAAATATCATTTAGTTTTTCGAATTTTGTAATCTGAGGTAATTTTATCGGTATGTCTAGACCTTTTGTATTCAAAACTGTCGCAAAATGTGGGTAATTTGTTAATCTTCCAGTATTTTTTGCTGCTGGATATAAAGCGCTAACTACGCTCCAATAGAAGCATGCTTTATCAAGGTTCTGTACATTGATACAAGCACGCTTATTTGAAATGTCCCTAGGTAATTCGATGAAAGACGAGCCGTTTCCCATTTCAAATTTATTGATGGCCACTTCCAAGGAAATAATTTCCTTCAAAGCCCACCCACTGTTTTTCTCAGCAAATTCACTCAGTTTATTCAAAATCATATCGATGCAATTAATTTTGAACCAATCCTCTAAATCCGTTCCAACGTCCACAGTAGCATTAGTAGTATTGAAATATTTTCTATCACTTATTTCAACATTATTCGATGTTTTCACGAAATCACCACAAAATGAAAAATTGATTTTCAGCATGGTAAACTTATCGAAGATCTTCAGAATTTTTTTCTCGAATAATTTGAAAGAATCCATCAAAAAGTCAATGACTTCCTTATGACTCAAATTGAGAATAAGTGCTGTTTGAAGTCTTGATTCAAATAATGAATTCACGTTTATCCATCTAACTGTTTGTTTTTGTTTCAAACCTGAGCCAACATGACGATGTTTATGCATCGTTTTTATGAAGAACCTCATTCGTTTGAGCTCGCCAATTTTGGTTTGTATTTTTCGCTTCAATCCGATCGAAAAATGAAATTTTTTCGTAGCCAAAATACATTTTCTAATATGAGAGTTGATTGACTTGAGAGCAAATAAAGCATGTGGTTTGGAATTATTTGTTTTGATCGCTATAAGTGTCTCATCGATTTTAGTGAGGGTCCTATTGAAATTTTCCATGATTGTGTAATACCAATATATGCGTTTTCAGAAAGAAAAAAGTTACTCACTATTTATTTTCGATGATTTCGAAAGATGTGGCTGGATGCTGCTTTCCGACGTTGATTGTTCCCCTATATACCAAGGAATATTTGCCTGGGGTGAACTCTCCGACGTGAGGCTCGTAGTCAGCTGTAACCCTGTTTGGTAGAAATACCACAGAGTCCTCCAATTCTAGAAGAACTGCCTTGCCGAATCTCGTACTCGTTATTTTTGCTCCTTCTATTGAGTGCGCTTGTCCCAAGGATAGCTCCGTAAGCTTTCTTATATCCTTCTTTGCTACGAGGGAGGCTTTGTTCAGAGAGGTAAGATCCATCTGGAGAGAAGAATGAGTTAAAAAAGCATCTTTTTCCTTTGAAAAATTCAAATTGGGACGACTTAAGGTCTTTAATATTCGCAGAAATGTGAAATTATTCACGAGAGATCGAAATGAATGATGAAAGACCAATAATATTTGCAAAAACTCAATATGAAATGGAAAAAAACGCCAATTATATCTACGCAGAATAGTGGAATTATTTTCTAAAATTCGAGATGAATTACAGAAGGTCTATGGTATTTGAAGAAAAAAAAACTCTGAATGCGATTGAAAATAAGTTGCAATAATTATATGCGGTATCAAGAATACAAACTCAGAAATACAATTAAAAAAGGTCTGTAATATACGTAGACATTAGGGTATAAACAAGCACTTTGATATGGAATAGATGTACTTACTATTATCGGTATTATGGCGGCGAAACAGACAGGTTCTGGCACTGGTAGGTAAATAGGTAGTAGTTGGCTGCTTTCACTGTTGAACTGATGACTGCATCAATGCGGGATGCAGTTTTATAGGCGCAGATAGCGTGGGACCGCAGGCAGTAAACATGCAGTCGCGTCATGTTAATTGATATGCGCATATGAAAACATTCTGGCGATCTCGAGATAATGGTCAAACAAAATAAAAAACGCCGGTCATGGAATGTTGTTTTGAATATAAATGCGCATCTTATATGCAGCGAATAGCAATCTTGAGATATCATAAAAAAGGAAAACTCGTGTGCAAGGTTATCTGAGACTGGTTGCGTAAATATTCCTCGAAGAGCGGGTCTATAGATACACAGCGGTCATGCGGCGTCTTAATTGGATTATTATGCAAATTGATAATGTATTCCCAAGGCATAAAAACCCACAAGAAATCTTGCTAAATAACGAGCCAACGAAATAAACATATTTATATCCACATGAATCGACATGACCAGACAAGATTGAGCTTGATTTTACATATTCTTTATTTCCTACAGAATAACTGTACAATTTTGAGTAATATTATTACAACAAAAAATGCTGAATTGATATATATGAACAAGTTCAACATAGCAAAGAATGTTTCATGATCCACTGTCCGTGTTGGTATTGATGATCTGAGAAACTGCCATTGATTCAAGTCGCCAAAGTTCCTATCGTTGAAAATCAATCTGATTTTAAATTTCGTCTCGTTCTTGGGTACTCTTATTGAAAAAACTTCCATTAGACCATCATTGATGAAATCTCTTCGCATAGCAATCCACTGGCATGACTCATTATCGAAACAAATTCCTGCTTCGCTGACTTTTTTCGGCACATTCATGTACAAAATGTCTCCCATCATTGAAAACAACAATACGAATGATGCTTTCAAAACAACCATATTTTTTTCGATGTGCTACTTGATAGTGGTATAGTTCTGGTACTGATAACGTCTTCCAATAAAGTTATTTTCGAAAAATTCCGAATCATCAGCTGTTTATCTTCGAAACGTTTTATTGCTTCGTCCAGTTCTCTTATTTTCCTCTGGAATTCCTCCAACTGACGTTTGAACTCTGTCGCAGACATTTGAAAACTGTCACAAAACATTCGACTATTCCATTTTTGCATCTCGATGCGCATGCGCATACGCAGTAGCTATAATGCTTGCATTTTCTGCATGCCATTCCGTCAACCACATCATCTTGAGCAGATATGGAGAAACACTTTTTTCTACAGCAATATATTTTCAACGTTTTAGGACATTCATATTCTACTGAAACTCCCATCATTGATGAAGGTTCGTTGGAAAATAACACGTCAACTACTGACATTCAAAGATTTATACCTTTCTGTTTTTTTTGTTGTCTATTCATAACAAAGGACGTATCATCTTTATTGAATCAGTGTACCAATTGACGTGAAACGAGAAGCATCTGAATTCTTTTGAACCAGCTTGAATTGAAAAAAAGAATGCAGCCTGAAGTAGCAGTGCTCTTAGATTTTTTAAAATCTCCAACCACGGCTCTGAAAAATCTCACCGAACAAGAATTGCAGTACATTCCAGTAGAATTTCTCATCGATTTTGCAGATCCTTGTGGACTATTAAGGGTGTGGCATAAACTTCCTGAAGAATATCGCAGCAACTTTAAACTAAAGATCAAGCTGCCATGCTTTGTTCATCATAATCGTCCAGATCGGCGAACACACTACGAAAGTCAACCATCTTCTCAAGAAACATGTCAACTTTGTAGAAAAGCATTACTATGAGATATAAATAATTTCGATAATATTCTCGTGTTTTAGTTTTTATATCCTTTTACTCCATACATTATATGTCAAAAGTCATACGTCATATGTCGAACGTCATACGCCATCGCCAAAACGGCAATTATGTATTACGTAGCACCCCGAATTATTCTGACGTCCGACAACGTAGCACACCGAGTATTTCCAACGTCTGGCAACCCTGTCCCATCGCTCGCTGTGCTAGCACTCGCTAGCAGTCTGTGCCTGTGCCACTGTGCCAATCTCTGTATCATTCTCACAACTCGTAAACTTTTCCGTCTAGTGGTGTGGCGCGATGGTAGCGTTTCGGGCTCACAGCCCGTCGGTCGAGGTTCGAATCCTCGCGCAGAGCACACCCGACCAGCTTTTTTTTAATTCCAAATATTCATCCATCGAAATCACCATCCATTACTCGAAATCGCCACCATCATCCACTATTTGAATTTGTCACCATCCAATATTTGAATTTGCCGCCGCCCAGTACAGAGCGCAGCCACAGCGACACTAGCGCCACTAGCGACACCAGTGAGTGTTTTTTGAACCCTTGAATTAAAAGCCTTGTTGACCTAACTACTCTAGTTTTTGAATAAACAATAAACAATAAACAATAAAACCTAATTATAAGATGTACCCAAATCATTCTCTTGACGCGTAAATGAATCTAAAAAAAAACTTTGATAAGTCACCTTCTGGACCATCGGCACGAACACGCAGAACTTCCTGCCCAGCTGCATCACCAGCGTGCAGAGGCACTCGACAGCGGCGCCGCGCAGTTCGGGCGAGTTGTCGATCGTCCTCACCAGGGGGTGGACGATGCGCGAGACGAAATCTGAAAAATCGAGGATCTCGGCCAGCTGGTCGATCGTTTCCAACGCCTGCTTGGACACGTTGACGGGGCAGTCGGGGGCATCGAATAACCTGGCGGAATAATTGGCGTGTTGAGATTTTTACAGTAGATTCTACGACCAGAAATAGGAGAGCTTTCATTAGTTTTTTTTATCTGAAATTGAATGAAATATTGTTATGAAGACTCATGAAATAACTGCCACTTGCACTCAAGTCAAGTCAAGGCTATACAAAAGTAGACCGAAGTGTTTACACTGTCTTTTTGGTCATCATACTATTTTAGTCTGGTACGCAACAAATTTCGGTACCAAACCAAACTGGTAACTTTACCAAGTGTACAGTTCATACAGAGTCCGGACACAGCTATACTTCTGTCCTTTTTTGTTTTCTAAAAATGCATTGATGATTGAATAAAGGAATAAAACATATATATCCAGCTCTGTCTTTTCAATTCCCCTAGTATCAATGATTGTCAGAAACAATTTTGAAGGTTAGATTATTTGTCAAACCGTTCATAGCCGTAGATAGAAGTGGGAAATAGGGCTATTTTAAATAGAATAACTATTAGATTTTCAAATAATAAACAACAGGGTGTTCAACTTTCGAATCGATGATTTTCATAATCAATTCCTGGGTGGCTATTAAAAATTTTTGTCATCAGAGATTTCTTCACTTCATTAGATATAAGAAAGATAATTCAAGTTTCTAAGTAGGTATCACATATAGCCAAGAAAATATAGTTGTTTTCTGTTGGGATATGAAAAAATAGAAAGGGACAATGAGATGTCAAAGATCCAATTGATAAACTATTATACACACCTAATAACTATACTTATATTAAACTCATGGTACATATACTATATAGTACATATAATGGAAATCATAATTGGAAGATTCTTAAGATCATTATCTAGATACCTATATCATCTAGGATTCTTCCGATGGTGACAAGGTTCCTATACGTGCATCTGAATTAAAAACACCGTGGACTGATGACATAGCACATTGCAATTTCTCTAAATCTTCTAGTTTTGATTCCAAACTTTCAATTGAATCGGTGAGAATAAGAACAGTACAAGTCCAAATGTTACAGTTTTGGGAAAACAAGAAAAACTCTCTGTAAAGTTGTTCTGTTCTTACGCTCAACGCTTCACGATGAGCGCCGTCATACGCCTTGATATAGTGATATTAATACTGTTTCTCGACTCATTCGATGCAGCTTCGTATTACAGACAAAATGGCTATTCCAGTTCGAAATGTCAAATTTTGGACTTGTACTGTTCTTATTCTCACCGATTCAATTTCTTTCAGCATCATCCCATTATTATTTTCTTTTTCTGAGATCGTATCATTCAGTGATTCCCAATACGATGACGACGGAACTCTTTTGAACGTCTCTTTTTTATAAATTGACGGCACAGCAGACTTCTTCAATTTGAAATCCATCAGCTTGAAAGAATGTTCATCAAAATGGGCCCAGAATTCCTCTTTTTTGTACTGTTCTTGCAAGTAAATTCGAATATTTACCTCACATATTGCGGATTTCTTGAAATTAATTTTCCATTCTGGTCGATTCATCGCATTCTCCATGACATTATCTTTAAAGGATAATTCGGAGAATTGAATAACTTGAATCCCTTTTCTAATGAATTATCGCAATAATGTACGCATAATTTGAAATGCTAAATTTTGGCGGTCGTAAAATTTCAAAGTGACAGTGACAGAAATTCGAAATAATTTTAAAAAGCGGGCGGGACGACTATGGTGTTTCGTCACATTGTCAGGTGGGCAAACCAAATGAAAGAAAATATTAAAAACCCCAACGGCTGTCAGTTCTGTGTCCGGACTCTTGTCTAAGGTATATACAGGGACTCTAGTTCATACCACACTGACAAGAGTATTTAGTTAAAATATAGTCATTAGTCAGCTTACCAAGACACGGTATAAACGTGGCCATTGCCTACTAACTAGGTTTTCATTCAGGGCAACAATGACTGAGCATTAAGAAGTTGACTGATCAAAGGCTATTTTTATTCAAAAATCTCACAATTGGCTACTGAACTGGTATTGAATTCTGTATAAGCTAGAAGGGAAAGTAAACAGTCATACAAATAAATGCACAATAATATTCCAGTGTCACAAACGACCCCTTACCTAAACTGCCTCTCAGATTTGAAACGTCAGTTCTGGAAACTGAATAGGCGTCCCCAAGAAAATGTTTTCAAATATGTCTGGTTCCGTAACAAAATGCGAATATTCTAAGAATGATGGTTAAAATGTATTACCCAAAGGCGAGAAGACATTTCAACTGTTTGTTAACACTTCAAATTCCAATATTCATTACATGGAAATATATTCAATAACATAATATTGATATAACTACAATATGAGCATTGTGTGCCTTTGGGGTTACCCCACTGTAAGGGTTTCAACTTGTTCAATGAAGGAATGAATGACATAATGCAGAAAATGACATTCCATCTCTTATAAAACAAACTTGTGTCTTATGATTTTTGATCAGCTGTTCAACAACATGACAAGTATATCCACACTCTTTGAAGAGCGTAAAATGAGATATTTGAAGCACTCTACCCTTACCTTACAATAGGCGGCAGAATCAAGTGCATGTAATCCTCCAAATTGTTCCCGAACTTGTGCATCGCCACCAAAAGCTTCATCGTATACTGCTTCTCTTTCGACGTGTCGTGATTCAAAAGCCTGAGTATCTGCGGAATCAGTCTCGGCAGGTACACCTCGAAAATGATTAAAAGAAGACGGTAACAATGGGCGTGAACACCTTAGTAGAACTTTTTACTCAAACCATGTTTATAATGATCCTTTTATACATAAATGATGATTGACAACATACTTCGATCGAAAAATTAACTGGAATGTTTTATTTTTGGACATAAATAATAGTACCTTCTGAAAACGGACCCTCTTATGACGTAGAAACCTCATCTCGCCATAGTTAAAAGAAAATACCAAAAACGCCCGACGGAGACTGAGGCAACTGATATATTAATTCTTTCAACTGTGATCTCGCGCTAATTCACTCTGTCAGAAATCATGTATCATTCATCTCTGTCTGGAATAGTCGTGTTTCAGTATTAGGGTTTTGACGTCACATCATCGCCTCGTTTTCAGAGGTCCGAAAAATCGGGTATTTCAATATTTTTTTATAAAACGTAGGGAGCTCATAGCAAGAAACGGTTTGCGGTGGTGAGCTAGTTTGGGTGAGTTCTATCGAATTATGAAATAAAAAAGTTTTGTGATATAAGCCCATTACAATTAAATCATGCGCTGTTCAAAAATCGCTTGATTCAAGCTATGCTCATGCTTATGCAGAATGCAATCATGACGACATAAAGTTGATATAATAACAATAATAATAATAAATTGCCTTTATTTAACCTGGCGGAGTTCAGCTGATGCTGCTCTTCCACTCAACCAGAATACGAGATCAAATACAAATAGTTAACAAAAATATTACATAATACCTATTCAACTGTGTATGTGGACTGAGAATATTTATTAATATTCATGTTTTTTCTATTGATCACTGTTTGCCGTGTAATATCTTCTTCATTTGTTTTTTATGAATTTTTTGGTATTGATATTTTTTTGAGTCTTGTTGGCAATTAATTGTAAAGTAATAATCCATTGTAATATATAGATCTCTTGCCAAATTCAGATCTTTGGTTTATCAAGCATGCAACTTACTACATTGGCCATTATGTGTCCTACGAATTTATCTACAAAACAGATTTATAGAGGAATATTAATTCTCACCGCACGGAATATTTTCTGTTGCCTCCGTAAAAAAATGTTTTGATAAAAAGGATCCTATGTCCTTTCTAATACATCTAAGAATATGTATACAGAATTTCATGATAATCAGTTGAGTAGTTTTGGCGTGAAAGCCCGACAAACAAACTTACATTCACATTTATAATATAAGTGGGGAAGTAGGGATTAGTTGGGATTGTTTATTTGGTATTGTGCTTGGTGTTCAGATTCTTGGTTATTGCTATGCTTGATGGTTTGGAAGGTGGTTATTCCAACAACCTATCCATTGAAGTAAATTTGGCTATATTCCGAATTCAACTGGTCAGTACTGTCAGTTGATCCACTGACTCTGCTGAAAATCTGTGTTCCGAAATATGAAATCAAAAATTCACTGCTGTAATTCGGGACACCTTTACATGGTTTTCACCAGTAGTAGTTTCTCGTTTATCTGAACTAGATGTTTAGCCTCCTACTTGTTATAAATTTTGGAAATTTAATATTTAACATGGAAGAGAAATCGATTCTTTTATTCTCTATAGTTTCTACGATTGTTGACGATGGCGATTCAAGCTCGAGTGATGAAGAATACTTGGACATTTTGTTGCCATAAATTTCTCATGATGCACCGGATTGAGAATTGAGATTCATGAAAATCGCAATATGCCTTAATGATGAATTTTAGGAGACATTCCAGGTTTATTCAGTTTATTTAGCCAATGCTATTATGAATTGAATACTTGTCTCATTTCTTAATGAGACAATTTTCAATTGTGTTAACTTGATATTGTTAAATATTTATTGACCTATGTACATTTATTTATTTTTTATCCTTACTACAAGGTTAACTTCGTAAGGTTTTTCCCAGTTTATTCAAATTACCTTTATGTTTATTCAAATGTATATTTTGTAAACGTTTTTGAATGAACTTATATTATTATTATTATTATTATTAATGCTGCTCCTTTCCTTACCTGCTCTACTACTTCATACTCCAGGTATTTTCTGATATTGAGAATCATTTCATTAACAACGGAAATGAATGTTACATTCCTTCCCCCTCTAAAATATGACAGTTCACTGAAGCCACACTACCTTTTGATACTCAGCAATTCCAGCAGAATGTTGAGTCGAAATATTTGGAATGAATAGTATGTCTGCTGACAAGCATCTGTCACTTCAAGTGAATTTTTTGATTTCGGAATGGAAAATCAGCAGATTCAGTACTGTCAGTTGAATTCGGAGTATAGCCAGTGTTTACAATTCCCTAAAAAATACATTACTTAGGTACGCGTGAATAGTATAACATCAATAATAAATGATAAAATCGCAAGTGTTCCCTTCCTAAACGCCGAACTGCGCCTGCAAACTGTTCCATGAATATCTAAATACTGATTCCTTTTTGTTTCAAATCTAGTTTCCCGAATTACGTGAATATTTTTGTATTGACCCGGCCGTTACTTGATGAAAATTCTTGACAACACGACAAACTCCAGTGCTAAATTCCTTAAAAACGAGGCACATAGGAGGCGCCACCTTGAAATCCATATTAGATGGCATTGACAGTCATTTTCAGAGATCAAAGGATTTTCAAATTTTCCACCTACTTGTCCAATGTATGTACGCTGATTGATCATTACCTTGAACTCCGCTCCCAAGGCGACCGCGATGTGCTCCAGCAGCAGGACGATCGTGCCCTGGATGGAGCTGTTCGGCAGCCAGAACTCTTTGATCAGCTTGCAGATGTCGTCGAGGTAGTTGCGGATGTGCTGCTTCACGATGGCGACGAGCTGCGCCAGCTGCTGGAAGAGGAACTCCCTGAAGCTGACGTCCGCCGTTCGCACCACGTTCAGCAGGCTCGGCAGGACCTAGAAGGATGTTCAATGTTGATGAAAATGAGTGAAGCTTCAAGGACGAAAATATAAGTCTCTGGTGTTGAACTTTGAAATCGCTCCGATCGATATTTTTTTGTCATTTTGTGCCTGGAGACGTCCATTTTAGGTCCGATACAGGTCTGAACGTCATGGAAATTTTCAAGACGTACTGGGTACATACGATTTAGATGTACTGGGTACGTCCAACTCCGAACGTTATCGATTTTTTGTAGACGGGATTGTATAATGAATATTGTAATCATTACAAAGAATTTCTACCTCGAATACATTAACATAATACAATTGTCACGAACGTAATACAATTCTCACAATTCATTTTATTTTACTGGCCACACCAGATCACAAAACATCTATTTGGTAGGTAGTCTCTGCCGTGGTCATCTAATTCTATCAAAGTATCAATATCACAAGTGTCATTCGAAATTCGCAAAGACAATTTTGTTGTATTCTCATATATACCAAAAGTGTTCTGTAGAGTAATAGGTAAAGCATCTGCCCAATAATCTAAAGGTCGGTTCCACAAGTGCATAAAAATTACAGAAGAAGCGTGCTCATGCTCATCAGTATCTCGCTCGAGGTGATGCCGAAGTTAAAAAAAAACAATATCTAACCTACCTCTGTTTTTCTATTCTATTTAAATCTATAGCATAAACCAACTTCATGTATAAGTGGGCTTGTATAGGTTCACACCTCAGCCCATTCCCACTTTTTAATAATAATAATACCATTTCTCTCAATCCTCCCTAGGTACGCACGATTTTCTTCGTACATTATAGGGATTCCCTTTCTTCTTCGTAGATCAACTATAATCGCACAGAACGTAATGCAACAAATTTTACCAAAATCCTCACTGATCAAAGACTCCTTCATATACAATGGAGTAAGGATGTATAATAAACTCCCCAAAGACGTAAAAGCAATTGAGCCTCTCAAGATTTTCAGAAAAACTCTACAAGAGAGATCAGCATGTATGGCATATTATGATCTCTCCAAAATTCCACAATTATGATAATTTGAATGTTTTGGGGATTTTTAATTCAAAATTCATGTAAAATGCCATCAAGAGGGAGATCCGGCTCGAAGGACCAATTGTTCGATGCTTGAGTGCAGTGGACTGTATTTCGATATTCCGTGATATCTCAGTTATCTCTCGAGACCGCGAAAACCAGAAGGTTCTACCTTGTGGTTTTCGCGGTCCTGTCCCACTTTTTTGGACTAATCAGATTTTGCATAACTGTTTCCGTTTATGAGATACAGGGCGATTTTGAAAATTTATACTTTTTTCACCCCCTCCATATCTACGAACTTTCTCAGCGAAAATGTCAAATTAAAATCTCATCCCATAGAGAATTTTACGCAGAATCCAGTAGCACACCCGACATTTTTTGTCGGGGTATGGTTTTGGAGATACGACTCAAGCTTATGATTTTTCAAATGGGACACAGCTCATTGAATTCCTCATTTTTTTCTCTTAGTAATGGTATATAATGTATGAATATAAAATTTTCAAAAATTCTCCAATACTCTGAATTTTAATAGTGGATTTTTTATATAAAAAAGTTCCAATTGAGGGAATATTTCTTTTGATTTTTCCATGAAGAGGACAAAAACGATACCAACACTAATTAACTAAGAAAACACAAGAATTAGGTGCCGGATAGCAACAAATAAATAGTTATAAAAAGTTCATAATGTAGAATAAGCACCAGATTGAATATTTACAAAAACCATTGGATTTCGAAATTATTCAGTAACTTATTCATTGAATTGTTGTTGTTATCAGGTACCCAATTTTTGTGTTTTCTTAGTTAATTAGTGTTGGTATTGTTTTTGTCCTCTTCGTGGAAAAATCCATAGCCCACTATTGAAATTCAATGTTTTATTGATTTTGGAGCATTTTTGGAAATTTTATATTTATACATTATATTTCATTTTGATGGAAAAAATGAGGAATTCAATGAGCGTATAATATGAAAAATCATAAGTTTGAGTCGTATTTCCTAAACCAAAACCCGAAACAAAAAATTGTGTGCGCCACTGGATTCTGAGTAAAATTCTCTATGGGATGGGATCTTAATTTGACATTTTCGCTGAGAAACTTCGTAGATATAGAGGGGCTTCAAAAAGTATAAACTTTCTAAATCGCCCTGTGTCTCATAAACGGAAACAGTTATGCAAAATCTGATTAGATCTTGAGTTTCACAAAAAAGTGGCACAGGACCGCGAAAACCGCAAGGTTCTATCTCGGAAGATAACTGAGATATCACGCAAAAGCATCTAAAACTGGACACACTGTACTTTTATATTGTTCATTATATTTGAGTGTATTATAATAGAATAGGCTATGACGATACGAAACTGTGATTATCAGGACGAATTCTCATGTTTTGATACTTGTTTACTGTAACGTTTCACTTTTATACAAAGTGTTTGTCGATATTGTCGCAACTCAGATGGTTCTAGTAGGTTATATGGCATTATTGAGAACAAACGGCGCATCCACCACGTGTCGCAACTCAGATGGACCTTCACCACGTGTCGCAATTCAGACATCGCTTTTACTTCGATGTATCACTGTCTTCACTATCTGAAGAAGAACTACTGATTTCCAAGTCAAGAACCTTTCGAGATAGAAACAATCCATTCAAAATGTATGATGGCAATGATTTCAATACCCGATTCAGGTTTTCTGTAACTTCTGTCAATCTGAATGTTAATCAAGCAAATAAACCTAACCTAAAATGCGTATCAACAATGCGCGGAACGCAAGGAGCAGACAGATTTAGCGCTGTTGCCACGCCCTTCCCGTCATTAGTAAATGGAATGATTATTATAACATCAGATTGTTTATGCAACGCAAATGACATTTAACATAACATCAAAGTTATTGTGGCATCAGTTGATTGGATGATTAATTTTTCTTTATGCAACCGGCCCTAAGAGTACTCGCTTGGCTATTTCGCAAGTGAACTTTCAGTGTTTCACCACCCAACCACATTCATTCCGAAATAAAGAGAATTGTTTTTCAAAAGTACAACAAACAATTTGTTCAATCACGAAAACATAAAAATGTGCCGAAAGGGCGGAACAGCAAAGAACAAACATGAAACGAGCGAACAACAGAAACAGGATGATGGTTATTGGTACTTACATTATGTTATGGACAGCAGCACCATAGTCGAGGAGATGTCACACCTCCAAAGTGCCACTTTGGAAGTCAGCAATCGATGAATGAGTGTTATGTACTGATTTTAATATAATAATTGGTAGTGATGAATCGAATAACGATTGAACTAAAAATGACGTTGCCTTATCGATTATTTATATTCGGAATCGATGCTAGGTTCGCAATTTTCCGCAATAGGAATGGTCGTTACCTTTCGATATTGCTTACCTAGGTATTATCGCACGGTAAGCGGCTTTTTTGCAAATTATAAAGGAACTGACGTCTATGAACTCATCTGACCTGATCGAAACTACAATGTACGGGATGTTTTAATTTGGAAAAGTTAATTTATGATGAAAGATCTTGAAATGAACGAGAGTTTGAGTGATGTTATGTTACGTTAAAAGTTTTTTTGAACTTCATATATATTTACATATGGGTAATTGTTGCTTTCAATTCAAATTTGTATATTGGTTACGTTCACAAGGTTGAAGTAAAGGGTTTCGCTCACAACTAGCTTTTAAACAGGGAGAGAGGGGTGAGTCGCAGAATTTTACCGGGTGATGTGATTTTCAGGGCGCCAATAGAATCACATACATAACCCTTATATACTTGACAATTCAAGAGTAATCGAACCTATAAAATTTACTCTATAATAGGAGTAACCAAATATATCTATCTAAAATGAACCCTAACAGGTAATAAAAGAAGAACAAGTCAATTCGGTATATAATCAGTATAATAGTGAAAGTGACTGATTTCTTGGACTAATCGAACAACCTAGGATATTGAGATTAAGCCTAATACTAGATAACTACTTAGATACATAGTTTCCGGGTACCCGTATGACTCTCTTTAGAGGGAGCGAACAAAATCAAAAAAAGTTGCCCCGTCCTTTATATACGGAACTCTCAATCATTGTATCCATTCAAAAAAAAATCGATAACCCTATAACTTAATCTATGCTACAACTATCACTTAACACAGTCCGAACACTAGGTTATAGTCTTCGATGAAGATATTGGCTCGCGACGATTATATAAGAGGAAGGGGTGATAGAAATTTTAAAAGTGAAGCCGCTATGCGGTACTTAGCCTTGCTGCTAGAAATCGAAGGTACTGCAGGTGTCAGCCAGCCTATCAGGCTTCCAGCGATATAGGTACCTTCTTATGTAAAAAGAACCGCAGAACCACCATTTCAGTTCTATTCTTGGTTATGAAATCAGAGACTTCCAAGATAATTCCAAGATTCAACTATAAACGCCTAGAAATTATTCAAGTGAAAATTATTCGTGCAATTATTGATAATAATGAAACATGAAAAATGTAATCTACTTGAACATTGAACAAGTATTAAAGCGGCAAATATCAACTCCGATCACCGGCTCCCTAATAATCGTGAGGCGTTAACTTGCTAGTTCAAAACTGATATCCAAAATCCTCTAACGAGATGATCCAACAGTAAGTAGATAACTCAACACTCCAAAATATCAAAAGATACCTTACTGTCGAAAAGCTAATGAATTTAATCCGCCTTCAGCGTAAAAATTATCAAATACAATTCACTGCTTAGGATATCATCATGACTACCTCAATATCTTTTGCGTTCTCGAATATTTTGGATTAGAACAAAAAATGGGTAGGGAACTTCACCGTTGATGACAGCAGCTCTCGGGTACTGTTTCTACCGATACGGAGTATCACTGGTAGTATCTTTCAATGACCAAAATCATATTGCTTTCCTAAATTACCTGAGTGTTGAAACATGGCATACTATTTACAATCAAGAGAGTTTGAATGCAGCGTGCAACAGCTTCGCGAATTTGATGTTCTATTATTTGGATTCCTGCTTTCCTCTTCGTAAAATATCAATTGACAGCAAGAGAAAATTATGTGATAATGAATGGATCACTGATGAAATCATAAGGTTAAAAAATCAGGTTACTCTCTATAACGATTTAGCTAAGACCAACCATGATTATAAGGACATCAGCAAATATTTGCAGAAAAATTACTGTAATGCTCTGAGAGTAGCTAAAACCAATTTTAATTACATGAGAATACAGGAATCGGATAATAAAATGAAAACAATGTGGAAAATTATTAATGAACTGAAAGCCGGTAATAATAAATCTAACGTTTTGACTATTACACAAAATAATTCTCTTTTACCAGATAGGATTGTCGCCGATCATTTTGCGAATCAGTTCACTATCAATATCAGTGAAAATTTTGTGTGCGACTATAATTTTTTAGATTCAAATATCCCTTTATCGACCACATCATTTTATCTAGAACCTGTGACAGTTGCTGAAGTTGAATCATTAATAAGTAGGCTCAAATCCTCCAATTCTTCTGGTAATGACAACATTTCCAATAATTTATTGAAAAAATGCAGCTCCTGGATTAGTGCTCCGCTGAATTATCTGATCAATTTTTGTTTTCAAGAAGGAAAATTCCCAGAGAATTTCAAACTCGCAATAGTTCAACCTCTGCACAAGAAAGGGGATCCAAATGATTTTGTGAATTACAGAGCAATCAGCCTGTTATGTAGTATCTCTAAATTGTTTGAGATGGCAGTAAAGGATCGGTTAACCAAGTATTTAGTCAAGTACAAACTCCTATCACCAGAACAACATGGTTTCTGCAGTAACAAAAGCACAGAATCGGCACTCTGTGAGTTCAGTCAGAAAATAATTTCAAGTATTGACAAAAAAATGTTTGTTTTGGGTATTTTCATTGACTTCTCAAAGGCTTTCGATCTAGTGAATCATCAGTTACTTTGTGCCAAGCTAGAAAGATATGGAATAAGAGGTTTGCCACTGAATTTAATAGATTCATATCTCAGCAGGAGGAAACAAATAATTAGAGTGAACAACACTTTTTCTGATGAAATGGATATCGAGCAAGGTGTGCCACAGGGTTCTGTTTTAGGTCCTCTTCTTTTCAATATTCTCGCTAACGATCTTATACTTTATATTCGGAAGATACAGAATGTTCATGTTACGTGTTATGCAGATGATACGAATATATTGGTTATAGATGAAGATCTAAATAGGCTAAAAAGTACTGATGAAATGGTTTATTCGAATATTGAGAAATGGTCAAAAAATAATAATCTACAACTTAATCATGGAAAAACAATAACTGTTCTTTTTGGTTCCAGCAGGATTGATATAGTCAAACTATTTGAAGATTCTGATAATGAAATAACCAGTAGCATGTCAGTAATACTATTGGGAGTTACTTTCGACAGGCAGCTTCATTGGGTTATCATATTAATAATTTGTGCAAAAAATTACAGAGTAGCTGTTATAGTCTGAAATTTATGAAGAACCACTGCAGTCGGCACATACTACTCTCGTTGTACTATGCCAATTTCCATTCCCACATAAAGTACGGGATTTTGAATTGGGGCAATTGTGCTCATGTGAATAGAGTACTGGTTCTTCAGAAGTATGCAATTCGAATTCTTGCTAGTGTCGATATGAGAACAAGTTGCAGAGCATATTTCAGAACTGCCAACATCCTAACCGTAGTTAGTTTATACATACTAGAAGTTTGTTTATACGTTTATAAAAATAAAAACATGTTTTTGAATACTGTTGAGAAGCACGATCATAATACACGCTTCAAAAGCCACCTCCAACCTGAGAGACACCGGACTACGTTGTACCAGAAAAGTTTTTATTATACTGGTTGTAAACTATATAACTCTCTTGATGAACAACTTAAGAGCTCCAAAAACTTGAATATATTTAAAAAGAGGCTTTAACAACAGCTAATTCAAAAGGCCTGCTATACGCTGGATGAGTATTTTATGTAATTCTATGTAATGTTAGTAACGTGATGAATATATTGTATTTAATTGTGATGGATGCTGTCGCTTTGTTTGTTTGTTATATTTTTTCTTTTTTTTTGACGTACTTTACTGTTTCATGTTATACATTTAACAGAAAATAAAAATTATTATTATTATACCTTCCAGGCAATGAATATATATTTTACGCATAACGTAACAGTTAATTCATAGGCATTTGTACTTCTTGACAATATGATCATGTATCTTGGACAATAAACATATCTGTCTCCCCCTTTCCTGCGCTCCAATGAATAAAAAATTTGAAATGATAATCACCTGTGGTATGTAGGAGACGCACTTGATCCCCAAGCTCTTGAACGTGAACGTGATCGCCTGCACGACCATGGTGTGGTGCTGCGCCAGCGCCGGATCCCGCACGATCTTCATCAGCGTGGCGATGGCCATGGCGAGGTAGTACTCTTCCAGCGTGTGCGAGCTCATGCTCACCAGCATCTCGCTCGAGGTGGTACCGAAATCGGCGTCCGCCTCGCCGGCTCCCTTTAATTCAGAGGAATGGTAGTTTCAGGGGTGTGAAAAATCCACTAGTCGGTTTTTCATCATCATCTTTATTATTCCCAAGAAACAATTGAATATAATAATAATAATAATAATAACATTTATTGATCCCAAGAAACATACAATGTTTATAGAGGGAAACAACAAAAAAATAAATAAAATAAAATCAAATATGCAATACAATGAAAGATAAACAGTTCAATCAGAATTAATTGATACAAGGGGAGAGTTAAATTGATAAAATATATTTCTTCAGTTCACACTTGAATTTTGTGACGAATCTAATAGATTTTATTCTGTTGGGTAGACTATTATAAATATTTATTCCACAAAAATACAATGATTTTTTCCCGAATTGGGTTTTTATTTTGACAGTTTTCAAATGTTCACTTTGTCTGGTGTGATGCTCATAGGTATCAGAATTGATATTGAAAGTAAGATTCGAGTGCTTCTTCTTATTTTTAGTGAAATGAATGAAAATGCATACTTTCATTTTGAAGAGAGAGTCAATATCTAGTAGATCTCTTGGTTTGTATAGTCTAGATGTTGATTCCAGAAATGGTAGTTTATAAATACATTTTATGGCTTTATTTTTAAGAGATTTCAGAGGTTTCAAAACAGATTTTGCTGCAGTGCCCCAGATCGATATCAGATACTGCAATTTAGAGTAAATCAAACTGAAATAAATTAATTTCAAGTATTTAAGAGGTATAAAAGACCTCAATTTGTATAATATACCAACAATGAGAGATATTTTTTCCTGTGCATTTGAATATGTGATGACCAAGATAGAGACTGGTCTATAGTTAAACCAAAGAGTTTGGATTTGTTTGTAGGATTTATACAAGAATTCCCGAATTTTAATGGATCTATTTGGTTATCAGGTATAACTCTTTTCGAGATGAACATAAAAGCGAGATCTTGTTCCATTTGGTTTTTTATTTCTTGTATATTTTTTCCGTAATAAATGAGAGTTGTGTCATCGGCAAATTATTTTAAATTCCCTTGTAATTTCAATCTTGAGATAGAATTTATATAAATTAGAAATAAAATAGGTCCGAGAATTGATCCCTGGGGTACACCACAAGAACATTATAGGGATTCCCTTTCGTGCGCTCCAAGCGATCAAAAAAAAAACTGCTTTCTATCAACTAGATAATTTTCAAACCAAGAGAAAACTTTACTACCTCTTATCCCTATTTGAGTTAATTTCATTAATAGAATTTCAAAATTGACTGTACAGAATGCCTTTCGCAAATCCAGTGATAAGAGTCCACATCTGTAGTCTGAATCTAATTTCAGCTGAATGTCAGTAATAACATCCAGTGTTGCACATTCAGTGTCACAGGATTTCCGAAAGCCATATTGACCATCAAAGAGAAATTCTATTTTTATTAAATAATCAGATAATCTTTTATGCATAACTCTTTCAATAATTTTGGATAATGTTGGTAGCAAAGAAATGGGCCTATAATTATTCATTGAATATTTTTTTCCATTTTTGAATATTGGTAACACTTTTGCAATTTTACAATTTTTGGGGATCGAACCGGTTTCGAATGTTATATTTATCAATTTAGTTAGTAATGGCACAGAACCAGAGGTGTCTATACAACATATCATTTAAAAAGGAACATTCTCAGATATATTTATGAACACAAAAAAATGGAAATACAGGATGGTCCGGTATGTGATACGAACAATTCAACAGTGTGTTGAACTCGCCGAAATAATGAAAAAAGTTCATATAAACATGTACATTTAAACGCGTCGTTTTCGGGATATAGGGTGTTGAAAATACGAGTCTGAATATTGTTTTTTGATGAAAAGTTCGAAACGGTTCGAGATAAATCAACGAAATTTCTCAAAACTTTCAACGCTTCATGAAATATGAAAAATTATTTCATAAAGTAATTCAGTGGCGGCTGAATCTGGGGGTGGTGGAGAAAAAAATCACCCTGCCTGCGTGAAAAATAGTATATAAACCTCAGGACAGAATGCAATTTTTTCCAAGGTGCGATTTGAAGCTCGAGGGCGAAGCAACTTTTGAGCTAAATATTGGACAGCACTTCAAAAAACATGGGGATGGATGATAATATCGACTAAGTACTGGATGTTTTGCAAGGAAATATGGTATTTTGATACCGTTTGCTTGGGTTACCTTGTCGGACATCGCGATCAGCATGGGGGCCTCGGGCTGGAAGTCGATCTGGCCTCGGTGGATCTTGTGCTTGTAGGGGTCCAGGGCCCCTGAAAGTATAATAATAATAATAAGGGGATGTGGGGAGTGGTCAATGGATTTCATCAGAATCGTGACTGGAATAAATATAAATTCAACTTTTCAATAATAATAATAATATATCGAATACTGGAACCTTTGACACGATAATACACTACACTGTTTTACCACTAACCAAACCGATTTTTTAATCGCCTCGACAAGTGTTTCGCTAACTATGGTAGAGGGGGAGATTGAAACTGTTTCAATTATAATCAAAACTGTTTTAATCTTCTCCTGAATTCACTGATCTTATGCGAGATTTGCAAAATGGCACTCGAATAGTAGGTATTTATCAAAAACGACTATGGCTACTAGATTTCAATCAGAATTTAAAAAAAGTGCTTTCACAGTGACAACAGGTCCATATTTTCAGTTTCACAGAACTATAGTGATTGAAATATATTGATTGATTGATTGATTATCTTTATTACCCCAAGAAACATTTCTGTTTATGATAGGGATACATAAATACATATAAAAAAATAATAATAAAGGGTTAACTATAATGAATTCCACTCAGTGGAAACGAATTAATATTGTGTCTTATAAGATCAAAGTTATATTTCATTCCTAAGTAATCAAATCATGCCACATATTTTTCTTTCAAATTGTCCTGAGCAAGTATTTTTTAAGATTGATTTTAAACCTTCTTGCATCATGTATATTTTTCAACTCATTCGGTAATGAATTGTATAAAATTATTCCATTGTGAAAAACAGATTGTTTGCCAATGTTTGACTTGAATGTATTTGCTATCAAGTAATTCAATTGTCTAGTCCCATAATTATGGACTGTATTGACTTCATTGAAAGCTAAATTTGATATTTTCAACTTATTCCTGGCAAAATGAATAAAGCAACATATTTTAAGTTTATATAACGAAATCAGGTTCAGAAAATGTCTTGGTTTGTATAAATTTATCGTTGGTTCTAGAAAATGTAGATGAAAAATGCACTTAATTGATTTGTTTTGTAATTTCATTAGTGGTTTCAAACGTGAAATATTTGTACTCCCCCAAATAGAAATTAAATATTGCAAATTTGAATAAATGAGGCAAAAGTAAATAAGTACATTTCAAGTATTTTATGGGAATAATATTTGGGATTTTGAATAAAATGCCTATGATCGGATTTATTTTATTTCTCAAATGGTCTATATGTTTAGTCCATAATAATTTTTCGTCGATATAGAGACCTAACAATTTTGTCACGTCTGTATATTTAATTAATCTATTGTTGAAAGTTATAGCATTATTCGAAATATTAACTGATCTTTTGGAAATATACATATATGAAGATTCGTTATAATTAAGAGTCAACTTATGAATTTGCATCCAAGATGATATGTTTTCCAAATCACTTGTAATATCCCGTTCGATATCATTTAATTCTTTGGATATATAAATCAATGTTGTATCATCCGCAAATAATTTTAGCTTTCCTTTCAATTTCAGAGTTGATATTGAATTAATATAAATTAAAAATAAAATTGGTCCCAGAACTGATCCTTGCGGTACTCCACATGTAATATTCTTTAGTGAGCCAGAAAAATCATTCACTTCAACATACTGCTTTCTATTTGTCAAATAATGTGTAAAAAAAATTCGATATACACCTTGGTAGTAAAAAATTATATTACCACGGGACTTGGTCCCTGGGTAATACTAATATTCTTTACTACCTTGGTGTATAAATAACTATTTTTGGTCCAGGTTCCAGGTCCAATTCCTCGTCAATATTAGTACGACACTTTCAAGACACTTTTTTTCATGTTCTGGTTCCCACGAAAAGGGATATCCTGTATAATGATCAGAGAACATCGTGAGAACCAAGGGAAATGAGGTAGGAATTGGTGTTCTTCTTGAATTTCTGGAGGTTATATGCCTCGGGGAACATCTCCCTTGGCAATGTGTTCCAGAGCCTCGCTGTTCTTTGGATGAACGAGTCTTCGGAAAGAGATGTTCTCGGGTTGATATCGCGGGGACTGCCAAGGGAGGAACAATTGTTGATATTTCAGAAGAGCATCGTCCATGAAAATAAACTGGGCGTCAATTGAAACGTTGATATTGAAATTTGGCATCAAGTTTGATTTCTCGTAATTTCTAAAATATTGAACGAATTTTGAATTGCCGCCCAGATTCTAAATGCCTTTTTCATCGTCTTCCGAACCATTCCTTACAGCTTCTTCTAAATTGATCAGGACCCGTGGTACAGGGTGAAACAGAGTTTCGTGCATTTTGAAGAAAATTTCTCCGCCCCCCCATTTTGTCGGAAGACCACGATGCTCATATTTCATTCGGGCATTTCATAAATAGCAACCATACCTCGGGACATTTTCGAGTTTTTGTCAAAAACTACTGTGGTTTCCGAAAAAAAAATTTTTTTGAATTTTTTTAAATGGACTGATTACCTGTATCCCCAAAACGATGAATCAGTCTATTTATTGTCATGACTGACTTATTGAAAATTGTACTTGAATGAGTTTGGGTATATCCTAATCGTCGTAGCCTGAAATAATAATTATCTGTACTGAATTATAGTTTATATCACTATAGTGATCTTACCTAATGATTTTCCATTTCGACCCGATTTGAACGAGGCATCTTTAAATTTTTTAGGACCCGAATTACACTGACGTTTTCATGGAAATTGGCAATTGATATAACCTCTATGCATATCTACATTGTTTCAACAATACGTTGTTATAGAAACAAGGTATCGTTGTTTGTTTTTGTTGATGAGATGTGTTGATTTACTGCTCACTAAGGTAGAAAACTTTCATCATAGACTGCAAAGTGATAAATTATTGATTGTTTTTGAGTAACCTGGTATACATATCTGCTCCAACGCTTTCCTGAAATGCATAATAGCATCCATTTATGGAACTCCTCTAAAATTAGTCCATTTAAAAAAATACAAATTTTTTTTTTTTTTTTTTTCGGAAACCACAGTAGTTTTTGGCAAAAACACGAAAACGTCCCGAGGTATCGTTGCTATTTATGAAATGCCTGGATAAAATATGAGCATCGTGGTCTTCCGACAAAATGGGGGGGCAGAGAAATTTTTTTCAAAATGCACGAAACTTTGTTTCACCCTGTATCACGGGTCCTGATCAACTCAGAAGGAGCTATAAGGAATGGTTGGAAAGACGATGAAAAAGGCATTCAGAATCTGGGCGGCAATTCAAAATTCGTTCAATATTTCAGAAATTACGAGAAGTCAAACTTGATGCCAAATTTCACTATTAACGTTTCAATTGACGCCCAGTTTATCTATAAAATAGAGCCTGATCGCCAACTTTTCATTGGTGTTCCAGAAAAGTGAGTGAGTTTGTGCCGTTTTAATGGGCTTATATCACAAAAAAATTTTATTTCATAATTCGATAGAACTCACCCAAACTAGCTCACCACCGCAAACCGTTTCTTGCTGTGAGCTCCCTACGTTTTATAAAAAATTATTGAAATCCCCGATTTTTCGGACCTCTGAAAACGAGGCGATGATGTGACGTCAAAACCCTAATACTGAAACAAGACTATTCCAGACAGAGATGAATGATACATGATTTCTGACAAATCAATTCTAACCTAGATTAACTTTTTGCAGCTCCATGTGAAACGGGTCAACAAAGCAATGTTGCTATGTTTATGAAATATATTGGATTATTGTGAAATTGTAATGGTGCAAATGGTTTTGAGATTAAGACATTTCGTTGTCTAGAGATTGTTTATACTCCAATGATTCAACCTACAATCGACAACTCGAATATATTTTTCTGCAGTAGTGGTAGTGGATATCAAAAGATATTTCAATATCGATTTCGATTTCTCGGATATTTTGTTTGGATGATATGGCAACAGTAATAAGTGTCAGGAGAGTGTCAGTTTCAACCATATATCTACTATTTCTATATATGGCGCATCGCCTATGGGGTTTCTACGTCATAAGAGGGTCTCCGTTTTCAGAAGGTACTATCATTTATGTCCAAAAATAAAACATTCCAGTTAATTTTTCGATCGAATTATGTCGTCAATCATTATTTATGTATAAAAGGATCATTATAAACATGGTTTGAGTTAAAAGTTCTACTAAGGTGTACACGCCCATTCTAGTGCCCATTCAAATCATCCATCATCTCACTTACCCAGCAATCCCAACACTCGGATCGTCTCTCTCCTTATAGCCGGCTGCTGCTCCGTCTTCAGAAAATTGATGAGCACGTCCAGCAGCCCCGGATGCTGCGTGTACGGCCGCACCACGTGACCCGTCGCTCCCACCAGCTGCCCCAGCGTACAGAGGGCGGCCGCTCTCTTGTCGGGCGCCGACGCATCGCCCAGTATGTCGAGCAGGATGTGCATCAGTTCGTGCATCCATTGTTGGAGTTCGGAATCGCCGCCTGTCACTTCGGCCAGATCGCCGATTGTCAAAAGGACCGACAGGATGACGCCCGGGTTCGGTTCGGGTTCTTTCAGCTTGGGCACCAGAACCTTGGTCGAAAACCATCAAATTTGAGTACCGTAAAACGGGGTGGATAGAATAGAATAGAATTTTTCTGCAACCGACACAAAAGTCGTCCATTTTGATACTAAAATTAGCTCTTAAATTGACGTTTCTATTACTGACACAAAAATAGGTATGTTGCTAGGCAACATATTTAGTTCCTAGGAGCTAAAGTTGAATTTTAGTTCCTAGGAGCTAAAGTTGAACTTTAGCTCCTAGGAACTAAAAAGGATATACTGGACGTCATCAAGAATAAACAACATTGTGACGGCTGGTTATTTGGGTTGAGACGCATACCTGATTTGTTTCCGATTTCAGCAGATTTGGCATTTCATGCCCATGCTGGAGATATAAATACACCTTACTATAGTTTAGTATTGGAATTATAAACATCTCAGTTAAGTATTTTTGTTTTGATCAGGGAAGCCTTCAAGATTCAAATACTTGCTTGATATGTATTTCATTCGTTATTCTCGGGATGGATAACTTGTTTTTGAATATTCACGGCAAGCAATAGTTTTTTTGTCTCAAACAACGATATTGTTTAGCTTGATTTGATTATCAAGTCAAACCATATACGTATTAATAAACAATACGGATCATAACGGGTGCCAGGATGAAGCCAAAAATATGAAACAAATGAATATCCATTAGGATTTGGTGGCATGATACGCATGCGCCATGCGCTATTATAGTAGTCATCAAAGACATGCGTTTCGGTGGACAATGACGTTTACTAGCCTTTCAATCAAAGCAGTATGTGTCTGATCGTTTCAAAACTTTTCCTTATGGATAGTCATTTGTCTTCAAAAATCGGCTTCATGTTTCGCTATGGAAACAGATAGAGATTATCCGTATTGATTATTAATACGTATATGAGTCAAACACAGTGTTACGTAGTATGGAGAGGAATAAATAATCACTATTATCATTGTTAATATATGCTCACTAACCTAACATTTTCCACGTCTTGTTCCTATAGCTGGCACTGGCGCGGTATTTGCCATTAGACCACCTGGGGCATACGCAAATATGTTACTCTGTGGTTGTATTTATATTGAAACTACAATTCGAACATCCTAGAAAACCTAACCTACTGTTAATGCAGGTAGAATATTCTCACCACATGGATTATTTGTCGATATTTGTTGCATTGCATACATATGGCACGGCATTGGTGGTTACTTCACATGTTTATTTGAGTTAATTGTTTCGGTTGCAGAAAAAATAGCATGTTTCATTCGGATCAAAAGTGACTTTGTTCGACTCGCAAATTTTGCTTTCGCTCGGCTTCGCTAAACGCTCCGCCTCGCAAATGCAAAATTCGCTTGTCAAACAAAGTGTCACTTTTGATCCTAATAAAACAATCTACTATTATTGGTGTCTTTCACGTAACAAATAAAAGCAACAAGTATACATAGGGTTTAAAATAATATGTTGAAAGAAGTAGGTAAGATGGGTGTATTTCCATCAGGGGGATCCACGGTGGATGGCCTATTAGAAGTATCTGGAGAACGAAAAGACAGAAAATTCTGAAAATTTAGATGCTTTGATAATGGAACATTCTCTATCCGCCTAAAATATTTTCATCGATACAGTGTTGCCACTTCTATCAGAAACAACTAGCAACTTTGTTATTTCAAATGGATCATCCTGTATTTTATTGTATTTTCAGATACTTCCTGAAGAGCTGATTTCATCAATGTATCACACTTGGGTCTAGCAGGAATGATTACAGAGATATAGGGTGTTCAAAATCGAGATTTTTCAAATTTAGGATTTTTTTGTGTCGAAACTATTCATTATCGATCAAAACGGCTTACATGTCCCTATCTTAACTTTTGATTCACTTTCTTCTGGAATTTAATTGGAAAAAATACAGGGTGCTTCAAGATTCAGAATTCTGAAGTCTTCAGGAAAACCACTGTTAATTGGAACGCAACAGCGAATCGTGCAGAACTATCCCCAGCCGATGCTCCGAAACTTCACAATATTCAATTCGTAAATTTAACATTGAAATTCTAACCTTACTCAGTCTAATATACAGGGTGACAGGTGACATTGAAATAAATACAAATATTTCAAACCCTAAATGATTTCGACGAATACTGTTGAAGGGCACCCATGGAAAAATATAGGGATTAAATAAAATCCAGGCTTGGACTCTTTTTCCACCAAAAGTTCTACACTGAAGCAATTCTGACGTCACCTTTATACAAATCTCCGTGCGGAAGGCGATTTTTATTAAATTTTCAAGATAAAATTTCCCGTTGACTAGAAGAATTAGCAAAAATCCAATATCATCGAAATATCTATCAGCCTATATTTTATTGATTTGCTGAATATATGAACTCATTTCAAAAACACCTTGTATAGATGGGAAAATGAAAGAAAATATCCTTTGTTTCCACTTCACCCCGTATACATGAAAGAAAATATCCTTTTTTCACTTCACCCTGTGTACCTACTATCGATATCGAAATTAGTCATACTTGTTCGGGAATTAATCGGTTGAAAGCATGACGTAACCAATTAGTCATTCGAATGAGGAATCAAAACAATCAGCAGTCTCGTTCTAGACTTCATCGGGTACGGTCGATTCAAGTGATAATAAAAAAAGAACTCGTATTCAAGAGTGGAAAATTGGAATTCATAGTGCTTAGTGATTGTATTTTCTATTGAGTGTGTAGAAGTTGTATTTTTTCAAGATGGTAAGTGTTTTTGTATTATATATATATATATACAGGGTGATCCACGGTGGATGGCCTATTTGAAGTATCTGGAGAACGAAAAGACAGAACATTCTGAAAATTGAGATGCTTTGATAATTGAACATTTTCTATCCGTCTGAAATATTTTCATCGATACAGTGTTGCCACTTTATCAGAAACAACTAGCAACTTCGTTATTTTTAGATTCTTCCTGAAGAGCTTATTTCATCAATGGTTAACACTTGGGGTCTAGCAGGAATGATTACAGAGATATAGGGTGTTCAAAATCGAGATTTTTCAATTTTAGGATTTTTTCTGTCTCAACTATTCACTATCCATCAAAACGGCTTACATATCCTTATCTCACGAACATTATTAGAATTTCCTGTTTTTGAGACTTTTTCAATCACCAACTAGACTACATTTTGCCATCATGGAAGCTTATACAGGGTAATCATGAAAAACAACAATCAATACTTCCAACTAAGCATTTCAGGTGTTTCAGGACCTATGTTTATATGAACTCTTCGTCTTAAAAACACCCAAATAATCACCTCTTGAAGTTTGGCCAGATACTTAAATAACACCCTGTATATTTCAATTTCTTATTCCATGTAACTTTCATGTTTTCAATTTTCAATATATTTCAGATTCGAGATATAATACCAACTATGTTTTAGATCGAAGAAGGGACGAGTTATTAATCGACGGAAAAATTGTACAAAAGGGGAAACCACACCAGAAACCAGCGACCGGTGATAAGTGTTTCATTCCTATTTACAAATTATATTCAATTCAATTCGAATATTTCTTCCAAATTTTATATTTGTTATGGAAGGCGATATATTATAGAACATTTTTAGAAAGTCACCTTTATGTCTCAATGGAGACACGACAGGTACCCTTACGAGGGGAGAGTATCAACTCTTGGCATCGGTAAACCCTCGTTGCAACCGGGGTAGGCGCCTGATGGGTTAGGTATATACAGTGTTTCTCATTTAGGAGAAAATTGTTGGCTAACTGTTCCGTTCATTTTTTGAGTAATATGTCGCGTTTCAGCAACGGAATTTGAAGACGTTTTCATATATATTTCAGTTTCTTATTCCATGTAACTTTCATGATTTCGATTCTCAATATATTTCAATTCCGAGATATAATACCAACTATGTTTTAGATCGAAGAAGCGACGAGTTATTATTCGACGGAAAACTGGACAAAAGAGGAAACCAGACCAGAAACCAGCGACCGGTGATAAGTTTTTCATTCCTATTTACAAATTATATTCAATTCACGTAGAACATAAAGGAATGAAACTGAATCATTTTGAATCATTAGCAATCAAAAAACTCAAAAAATTGGATCAATTAGACCTCAATAGTTCACCACTGTGAATTTGGTTTCTTAGTAGGTGATAATATGTTTTTGCTATCAACCCTTCCAAGTTAATCCGGTATACCATAATTTAATGTAGATATTGTGTCTAATTTCCGAAAATGGAGGTTTATCGATCCTGTCCACAGGTAATTAATCCTCCAAGTTGGGAAAGTAGGATATATAAAAGTTAAGCAAGCCAACGTTGGTTTAGTTCATTGTACCAGTATATCACCTGACGAAGCTACTGTGTTAGCGAAACATGTTGTGTGTATAAGAATTTTGTGGAAATCTTATCGTTTGTGAAGTTTTTACATTTGTCATGGATTTCCATCAAGTAACGGCCGAGTCAATTCAAAAACAGAAATAATCTGATTTGCGAATATACCGTATAGTATGTATTTATGTATTTATGAGAGTTGCAATGAAATATTTTACAAGAAATCGAAAATACAAAGAAAATTTGATATTTTTTGGAAATGTTCAACACCCTGTAGCCCAAAATCAGGTTGTTTTTGGAAATATGTGTATGTTTTGACATTTTGCCTTCATTTGAATAAGAAATCTTCCGTATGATTTATGACATCCAATTCTGAGACACATATAATATATAGTATATTTTTCATCCTCATTAGACTTTTTATTATATTTGTATAACATTACATATATACCTACCTGTCAATATCTTTGGGGAATCTGAACAAATGTATATCGTTGGGATAACTCTGGTAGTTGTTGAAACACCCATTCACAGCACAAACGTTGCTGCACCGTTTATTGAATTTCAGCATATCAATTTCAAAAAATCTGGAAGTTTTCAAAGCGAAATGATTTTTTTTAAACTGATACACCGACAATCAGATTATGATTCGCGAAAAAAAAATCGTACCACACTGGAGGTATTTTTTTTAAGATTCGGAGACTTGAAACAGTGTTGACAAAGCTATGAAATTCACGAGGCATTTGTATGTTTATATTTCAATAAAACAGCTTCTGGATACAAATCTTGAATTGATATATTGTAGAATTCTAGAGGAATCAGGTTTCCTGTAAAAGGCAATTCAGTTTTGGGCGAACTGCTTTCAAGTTTATGATATTCATGTAATTTTGAATAGGTTAATCAACCCAACTGTAACCCAAAAACATTGCCAAGGCAGTTTGTTTGATCGATCGATGATTTTCCTAATAAAATGAAAATATTATTTCAACAGCGAATTCTTGCGAATTACACCAAAGACTTTCATTCAGGGTATCTTGACAACGTGGCATTTACTTGAGTTGACATGAAATGTGGAATGCTACGCATCTCGCGGCGAGAGGTTTCATCACGTTCCACTCGCTTGTTATGAACTTTTTTCCTACAGAATTCTGTAGCATGCAAGTTTCGCGCTTTTTTTGCTTGCACCTTCTTGTATAATGTCTCTTCGCTGATTACACTGCCCTATCCCATACCTTCAAAATCGGCTCCATGTACGGCCGGATCAACCTCGGCGCGCTCACCACCAGATGGTCCAGCATCCGCGCCCCTTGCTCCTTGTTCCTGCCGATGCCCGAGTGCTCCAGCTCGGTCAGCAGCTGCACGAGCACCTTCCGCAGGCTGGGCATCACGTAGGCGGGGTTCATGCAGCTCAGGCGGCCGATCGTGAACAGCGCCACCTCCCTGATCTCGAACACCTCGTCTTGCAGGGCGACGAAGAGAGCGCCCAGGGATTCTGCCTGGGCCAGGTGGTTGTCGAAGGTGGGGTCCAGGGATACCAGGACTCCTCTACGTACGCCAGGGTCCGTATCTAGAGAATGATATTTTTTGTAAAATTTTTATATTATTGTTATTTCGAAACTTGTGCGAGGTTAGAAAGAGCGAGACATCTAGACAGTAGGTAAAACGCAATTTGCATTGCCATAGACGTAAATAAATAGTGTATTTTTTTTCTTTTGTTTTTGTAAAAATGCTATATTATTCCTACTTCGAAGTTGGTAACTAATCACAACTTGTGCGAGGTTAGAAAGAGCAGGACATTTAGGAAGTGAGTAAACCCATGTTGCATTGCCATAGACGTATATAAATAGTGTGAAATGACATATTTGATAGGTGCTCAGTACTTGGCGCAGTCGGTAGGTAATATAGAACTGAAACTGATCTTTTGTTGAAATACATCAATGTATATAAACAGTGTGAAATTACATATTTGATAGGTGCTCAGTACTTGGCGCAGTCGGTAGGTATTATAGAACTGAAACTGATCTTTTGTTGAAATACATCAATGAAATCTGCAGTATTTGTTTTTCAATGTGAAAGGGTTATCCTTCTTGTTATCCTTCATCTATCAAAGTGGCTCAACGTACGCCAGAGTCCGTATCTTGAAAATGTTTTTTTTTTGTTTTTGTAAAATTTGTTTATTGCTACTTCGACGTTGGTACCTAATCGCAACTTGTGCGAGGTTAGAAAGAGCAGGAAACCTAGAAAGTAAGTAAACGCAATTTGTATTGCCATAGACGAATATAAATAGTGTGAAATGAGATATTTGATAGGGGTCAGTACTTGGCGTAGTCGGTAGGTAATATAGAACTGAAACTGATTTTTTGTTGAAATACATCAATGAATTCTACAGTTTTTGTTTTCAATGTGAAAGGGTTATCCTTCTTGTTATTCTCCGTCTGTCGAAGTGACTCAACAATTTGATAGAGCAACAAAGGCCCTCTATGTTTTTCGCGTTTTTTCTACTAATTGGTTTCCAAACAATGCTAAATTGACGATATTGTGATAATATTGTTATACAATTCTGTATTCTGTTTGGACAATACTGCAAGATTTGTTATAGTTCCAAGTGATAGCAATTTTGTTTGAAAATGGCGAATTTTTGAGCTGACAACACTGTTTTTAACTCGCATGTTGAGTGTTAGGTAAGGTTAGTGCCTTTATTTTTTGACGAAGTAGAACTTAAGTTTATCTAAAGTCCCAAATTGCACTGGAAAGCCAGATGGAATTGATTGAATTTTTTGGAAAAGAGCCTGATTCTTATAAACTAACGTTGCTGGCTTATTCAAGCGAAATAGCTTGATAAACTTTCCAAAAATGGATTGCTGATGTCTCTGATATACTGAAGTAATTTTAGTCTCATAATTCCTCTACAAACGTTTTCAAGTAACCATCCACACAAGTGAACTTATATGTTTATATTCACCTATTTTCTAAATTTTTCAATACTTAAAGGAATTGTAGAGCAAATATGAAGGATTCACTGCCAGTTTCAAGCTTGCGATGAGATAGCAAGCACAAAACTGATGTAGCCGAGATACCAAAAAAAAACTAACAGAATGTCATTGAGATTGACAGATTATATTACCCAGAATCGACAATCAGAATTCCACTTTTTTAAATCTAGCTGTGATAGCGATAACATCTTTACAACCATATCGCTATTTGCAAACAGAATCGGTTCGAATCTCGTAGGAAAATATTCTAAACGCGATATGCATCGCCATAGAAGAATATTAATAGTGTGAAATGTCATATTTAATGGATGCGCATCACTTGGCGCAGTCGGTAGGTAATTTCCCGGTACCATAACAAGAACTAAAGGCTCATAACAGTTCGTGTGTAGATTGTACAGCAATAAGTGGAAAATATGGAACTGGAACTTATCTTGTGTTCAGTGTTCATAAAATGTTCCTAACTCAACATCAATTCTGCAGTATTTGTTTTTCGATTTAAAAGCGATACCCTTCTTGTCATCCTTCATTTGTCGAAGTTGCTCAACAATTTGATAAAGCAACAAGATCTACAAAAAAATCTTTCAATGCTTTTGAGTTTTTTGATCTTTGCCGATCAGTTGCTCGTCGAGTCATCGCTAATATTCTTGTTGAAAAAACAGCACAGCGCCACCTCCCTGATCTCAAAGACTTCATCTTGCAGGGTGACGGAGAGAGCTCCCAGGGTATCCGCTTGCGCCAGGTGGTTGTCGAAGTGAATCTTTAGGATACGTATGATCAAGAAGTTACAGCACTGACCGTTATTCGTGCAGTTCTATGTATAAGTAATAAAAATATGTCAATGAGTATACGGTGAGATAAATACCTGTCAACCCGACGCTGAGCAGCCTACTCAACACCGACGCCACCGTCTTGGTCACCGTCTCCGATGGCCTCCTCGCCGTGCCCCTAATAGCGTGCCTCAGCAGCCGGCACGTCGTCTTGACCGCTTCCAGCCGTATGTCGGTGTGCTCGTGCAGCAGGAAGTGGTTGGCGCATCGCTGCACGAAGGGCAACAGCCGCTGCCCTTCGAAATCGAACGTGCCCAAAGTGTGCAAAGCGAGCACTACGATGGGCGGGTCGTAGATATCGGAGGCGGCGCTTAGAGACATCAGATTGGTCGTTTGTCTCGGCATGCCCGGGTGGACGAGCGGCCTGTAGATGATACAGGGTCAGTTCATTAAGAAACTCGTGTTTATTTACAGTTCCTAAATGTACTTGACACTGCTGTTTTGACGTTTTTCGTATATTAGAGTACGGACACTATGACTAGCACTGACAATCAGACATAACCACAAATAAATTGCGGGAACTGACAGTACACGGACGTACATAACATAAATTTCAAAGGTTTGACAAATTGAGAGAATTAGGAGAAAGATGCAAGTTAGTGCAGTTTCCAACTGTGAGAACACGGGAAATCAATTCACTCTATTCGAATTTCCATCGGATAACTTGATTCTACAAAAATTGAAACAGGATATGATGAAATATAGGTTCAAGCCACAAAATTTGCGAGGTATTCAAATTTCTTGGTAGGATATAGAAAATTTTTCAACACATTTTAATCGGGTACACTTCAGAACTTAAGATTTGATATTGAAGAATAGGATCGTATTGAGAGAAAGAACCGAACCCACAATTTATAAACTGAGCGAGTATCGAAAAGAACCTTATTCCAATTTAGAACCAACAAGAAACAAAAAACTTGCAAATAATGACATTCATTTCGAACATGGTCGATCATCTGATGATGAAACAGCAGGAACTTCCTGAATTGACTGACTCCAACAGATTTTACATCCTTGTTCAACCAAGAATTCTTTAGATCATCTTCGTATACGAATTCTTATAATAATTTTGTGAAAACATATAGTCACTTTTTGGAACTCTGATGTACGAGATATTGATGACATAGCTCCTAGTGGATTTTGAACCACTTCTTGGGTACCAAGATACGAGCAAGATATTATCATAGCACAGAACAGGAACGCTTAACGAGTGCACCATTTATGTTAGGTATTGAAAATGATCTTCCGATGGCCGGGTTCAACCAACAATCCCCTTTAGCAATGTGAACGGCGATCTATAGTGAGTCGAGCGCTGAAGTCCATTTATACCTACTTACATATGTCTTGAAGAACATTTATTATTTATCCTAACTGAAATCAGCTGTTATTGTTGCCATATTATTTGTTTATTTATTAATTACTTTTTGCCTAACACTCTTGTACAAGTGAAATTGTTTCACACGAAATAAAAGTAAGTATGTTTCCAAATTTATCAGTTTTTACTCCATTCTGAACTTTTGTGATAAAAAAATATTCAACTGAACGTATATATAAACCTACATATAAAAAACTTATTTCATAGGAATGGTATATGTATTTCGTTGGTATATATGTGCATACCAACTTGATATCGACCTCCATTGAGGTCCTTCAGCCTTATCATTCAATATTTCGAGAAGAAATAATTTTCTAATCAATTTATCGTACCCTTTTACCCACTCGCGGAGACGCTATGCACTCTCATACAAATATCAAAAACAGAGAAATATATATGGATGTACTTTTCCCAGGACTTGTGGAGGATGGAAGATGCGAGGATCCTTTACCTAAGCGAAAAACATATTCTAAGTAAGAAAGTGAGGTTTTGTTTCAATAATTCACAGGAGAATGAGGTTGTGTTTCAATATTTTGCCTCCAGGCCCCAGGGTCGGTCATCGTGCACGCGACCTATATACAAAAAACGTCAAAACAACAGTATCAAGTACATTTAGGGATTCAAGTGTTTATCAGACAAAAATAAGTAGGTAAGTGGTAACAAAAAAAAAAACATCGCATGATGAGTGCAAAATTATCGACAGTTGCATAAACTCCTCTGTTAACTCTGTTAAGGCTGCGACCGCGCCTGCCTCCAGTGAATCTAGTATTTTTCCATAGAAAAGGACCTACTCTAAATATACATAAAACCTACCTGTTGAGCAGTATCTGGGACAGCATCTGCAGCAACCCCAAACTGATCTTGTTCTTGTGCGCGGGCACTCTTTTCGCTAATTCTCGCAGGCAAATCGTCAACGAAGCAGACAACCCCGTGGCGAACATCTGCTCGAGTATGCTCGGGATGTCCATGCGCTCGTGATCGTCGAGCGCCAGGCTGAGGAAGGTTATGCACTTGAAGACGCACGGGTCGATGGTCGGCCGCTTCTTCAGCGCCATCTCGCTGCGCGGAAGCGCCATTTTGATCAGCTCCATGATCTTGTCGACGTAGGGGCCGATTTCGCCGTCGACGGCGATGGCGAGCAGACCTGGAGAGGATGGATGAGTTCATGCGTTTCTACCATAGACATATAAAAAGAGGGTAGACGAAATTGTTTACATTTTGTCCCGATCCAACATCGTTTTTAGCAGAAAACGATTGATGACAAAGTCCATTCGTCGATAGTCAATTTTGGACGCATACGCCAATTGGCCGAATACGTCAGTTGGACTAAATTGGGTCAATTCATCGAATTTCATATTTTTTAAGATATTTCGAATGCCTTTTCGAAGTTCTTTTAGTTCTTCTTTCAGTAGCCTCTACAGATTCATACTAATTCAAAGATACGTATATATACAGAAAGGTCGTCTATGAGAAGACGACGTGGAAAACCAATTTTTGTCATTGATGTTTGAAATGTTTGTGAACGAGTCAAGAATGATCTGCCAAGATAGAATAATGCTTCAGAAGCATGGCATAGAAGATTTGGAAGTTTGATTTCTTATAGTCTTCCTTTAATATGGTATACTATATTGAAAGGTATAAGAGAAGAACAATATTTGGAACGCGAAATGAAACATACGTTGGCTGGAATGACGAGAAACGTTTACAAATGTATGTCGATCTAGACAAGACAGTAAATATAAATTTGTTTTAGATAATTTTGAAAATCTGTCGATTACTGAGAAGTATTGCTTTTAATTCCAAATAATGTATCATTAATTAATAATTGAATAGAATATGTATCGAATCATTGAATGATTGAAACATACATTATAGGGAAGCAGACCTACAAGTGCAGAATATCTAGTTCAAGGCCAAATGTTGACCGCCAGCTCCAATAACTCAGAACTGAAAAAATGACAGATTCATCCCTACCAATTGAGCTCTTTTCTATATTGAATGAGAGAGAGGAGGAAGTCCTCACCTCTTCCATCTTTCTCTTCAATACTACCAACGTTGTCGCATTGAAATATAGAAAGGTCCGATAAATCTGTCCTTGTCTGACATCTAGTTTGTGCCACTGAACTATTTTTGAATTCAGCAGAGTGTCAGATCAACGATATTAACAAAATATAACAAAATAAGTATGATATAATTAGTGATTCCATTTAAAAAATTTGAAAGGTTATCAGTCAATGACATTTATGACATGGACATATCACATCATTGAAATCTGAACTAACTGAAATATCTCACTAGAACTGAACCTTAATCAGTTAATTTTTTCTTTACAAAGAATTTGATTAGTTAGAATGCATGTTAACTGATTTGAACTGAATCAGTTATCAGTCCAAATGAAATATGTCAGTTAGTTCAGAAGGAAAGGATATCATAAGCTCTGTTCGTTTGTATTGCTGAACTTGCTAAAGTTGATTTTTTTCCATAGTTGTCGCTGGCCAGTGCAACTGATGAGACTGACAATCGATTCACGAAATTTCCCTAGAATCTCTTAGTCTTGAGATTCTAGGTTTATCACCATCTGTTAGTGGAACATTAAACCACTTTGAGAATTACAGGTGTTGCGATAGTCTACAGAATCTGACATGGATGTCTTTTCTGTAAGCATATAGACGTAGGGGTCTATATGCACGACTTACTCGCAAGGTATGATTGATGAATCTACCATACACCTTTGCACTTAAGCCACTAGATGGCTATGAAGGCTAGATCGTCCTTCTGCCCCCTCAGGGCTTCGACAGACTTCGCTCCAAGTTGCCAACCTAAAACCTCTACCTCTGTAGAAGCAATATCATGAAAGTTTGATTACTCAAAATAGCTTTATTTATCATAAGTTTAAGTTATCTGGTCTGGTGCTACTCTCGACTCGTCGTAATGGTAATCAACATAACATTGTTATTAGGTCTATATATTTATCGGTGTTCATTTATATTTCCTCACTACCCATAATAGGTATATCATGCTATAATAAATATTGTGATATTCATATAGTCTTTTGATTTCTGCTACCACCAATAAACTATCTGTTTCTAATTATTTGAATGAAGTTATCTTATTTTGATAATGTTGTATTCCGACATTTGTGATAATATGTATCTCTATTATTGGAAACTTTGACCAGTTTTTATCCAAGGTTCCCCATTGTTGTTTTTTTACTAAGAAAACGCTTATTATTACATAGTTATGTTAGTATTTTTATTTATGATATCGACTGTGATTTTTCCGTTTCCGAACAGTTATGGTTTCATCCACTTAAAGACACTTCCTTGGGTTGTTTTTCAGTGTCATTGTCATGTCCGGATCGATTTTCAGCACTCAAATGAAATATATTCCTACTTCCTACTGCAACGATCAAACTTCTTTACCTAATAATGATAAATAATAGTGTTGTCCACAAATGAAATTATCTTTAATACATAACAAAAATGTGACAAGTAATAAAATTGACGACGATATGACATATTCCAGAATGAGAGCAGGTGCATCAACATAATTTTCAACTAATCAAAACTAGAGTTCACAAAAATTAATTTTTCTTCTGAATAACTTCTATTCGTGAGCTGAGTAGATGCCTACAATCAAATTGCACCGCAAAATGAAGCTATTTGAGTAATAAAACTTCCATAATGTTGCTTCTACATTGGTAGAGGTTTTTAGGTTGGCAACTTGGAGCGAAGTCCCCCATTGAAAAATGATAATGTAATGTAATGTTAATTATCACTTTACGGTAATTCAAGGGCACGTGGGCCCTTGTAAAATATGAACCGAAGCCTTAACCTTTATTGAAATGTTTTATAATAAATTTACATCATTTTACAGAGACAGTAAGTCTTCCACTTTGTTCCTTACTATTTCTTAAATCGATTGTTTTCCAGATCATGGAGCATATTTTCCTATATGCCCTGTTATTAACTGTACTATTGGTATGTCTACTTTTTTCATTTCCATGTAAGTACTAAGTAGTTTTCGCATTCAAATCCTAAGTCGATACCGATTTTTCTAGAGCTATGATATACTTTCTATTGGCTGATGATAGTCTTATATAAACCCGAAACATGTTTCGTTACGATTGATCTTTGATCATTCTAATGAAAGTTGTGGAGATGACTTTGGGTTTTCATCTATGACTTACCAATAGTGATGAAGGCCATATTCCTATCTTTCTCCCGGCTCCTCAATATCTGAAACAAATGGTTCATAGCAGCTGGCAGCTGCTTCTCTATGAAATCCCTCTTATCGAAAGCCGCCAATCTGGGCAGAATGTTCAGCAACGTTTGCTGCACGTAACTGTACCGAATGAATTTGTGATTCATCACGTCGATGCAAATGTAGGTGAACTTTTCGGCTACCAAATGATGACACAAGGCAGACTGGATGATCACCGGCTTTTCCGGCGACAGAGCGGACAGCGCCTGAGAGAGAGAGAAATGTACTTTTTATTCGCAGTCGTCAAGGTCGTTAGATGACGCTGCGATGACATTAAGAACTACGGGAAAACATGTGTAACTTTCAATCTACGCCAGGAGTGGCCAGGAGTGAGGATTTTTTCCCATAGTTTTAAAGGTCATTGTAACGTCATCTACTGACCTTGGCGACCGCGAATTAAAGAATGAGAATTTATATTCTATACAAATTCATCCTCTTATACAGAATGATTCACGGTGGATGGCACATTGGCGTTTCTGGAGAACGCAACACAGGATTATTCTGAAAAGTTGGTGCCTTGAATAATCAGTTGAGTTCTATCGACTTGAAAAATTCTCAGCGTTGCGACGTTGCCGCTTATATCGAAAAGTAGCAACAACTTTGATTTTCTCAATGGAACACCCTGTATATCATTCCATTTTCAGATTCACCCTAAAGAGCTGATTCCATCGACCCGGCACACTTGGTGTCTAGCGGGAATGATAACAAAGATACAGGGTGTGAAAAATCGAAATTTTTCAACTTTAAGAAATTTTTGTGTCATATTTGATGAAAACGGTTTTTTTGTCCCTATCTTAACTTTTCATGTACTATCAATTGATATTTAATTGAAATAGATGCAGGGTGGTCAAATATCTCAATTCTGAGTTATAGTATATTGAGAATAGACTAGTTCTCAGAATGGAACCCTGAGGCACTCCACGTTTCACAGTTTTTCAGAACTGTATGTATTATTTATACGAACCTGGTAGTTGGCAGCCTTCTTGTTGGGGTTGGGGTACATGAACAACGGCCGGTTGTAGCTGAAGTGTCCACCCTCTATGGACCTTTTGGTGTGTGTGATATCCAGCAGCTCGGTGTATTTTCTTATCAATTTATTGGTTGCAAAGTCGATGGAACCTCGATATTCATTTTTATGTTCTTGTATCAATATACCGGGTGACCCGGAACCAATTTACCCCCCTGTATCTTCGTTGTTATTTTGTATGGATGTTTCAAATTCGGTACTTTGATTTGATGTTATGAATGTACAATATAGCAAGTATCAATCCAAATATGTCACTTCCGGATTGACCGGAAGCGCATCCAATTTTTATATTTCGAATAGGAAGAATTTTTTTTTTTTTTTGAAAATTACAATTCGGTATAGAATTACCTTTACAATGACATATCACAATCATACTTTCAATTCACAATCTGATGGTATAATTGGCATTTTATAAAAAAAAATACTTTTTGTGTTCCCCTCGTAACGGAACATTTTCATGAAAGTATGCTGTGGAAGATTGAATTATTGTTGCTTACATGATATTGTTCAATCTTCTTCAATTTTTGCAATTTTCAGGAATTATTGCGATTTTTGCAATTTTCAGGAATTTTTGCGATTTTTGCAATTTTCAGGAATTTTTGCAATTTTCAGGCATTTTTGCGATTTTTGCAATTTTCAGGCATTTTTGCGATTTTTGCATTTTTCAGGAATTTTTAGAAATTTTTACAATTTTCAGGAATTTTTGCGAGTTTTGCAATTTTCAAGAATTTTTGCGATTTTTGCAATTTCCAGGAATTTTTACGATTTTTGCAATTATCAGGATTTCTTGCGATTTTTGCAATTTTCAGGATTTTTTGCGATTTTTGCAATTTTCAGGCATTTTTGCGATTTTTGCAAATTTTCAGGAATTTTTGCGATTTTAGCAATTTTCAGGAATTTTTGCAATTTTCAGGAATTTTTACGATTTTTGCAATTATCAGGATTTCTTGCGATTTTTGCAATTTTCAGGAATTTTTGCGATTTTTGCAATTTTCAGGCATTTTTGCGATTTTTTCAATTTTCAGGAATTTTTGCGATTTTTGCAATTTTCAGGAATTTTTACGATTTTTGCAATTTTCAGGCATTTTTACGATTTTTGCAATTTTCAGGAATTTTTGCGATTTTTGCAATTTTCAGGAATTTTTGCGATTTTTGCAATTTTCAGTCATTTTTGCGATTTTTGCAATTTTCAGGAATTTTTGCGATTTTTGCAATTTTCAGGAATTTTTGCGATTTCTGCAATTTTCAGGCATTTTTGCGATTTTTGCAATTTTCAGGCATTCTTGCGATATTTGCAAGTTTCAGGAATTTTTGCGATTTTTGCAATTTTCAGTCATTTTTGCGATTTTTGCAATTTTCAGGCATTTTTGCGATTTCTGCAATTTTCAGGCATTTTTGCGATTTTTGCAATTTTCAGGAATTTTTGCGATCTTTGCAATTTTCAGTCATTTTTACGATTTTTGCAATTTTCAGTCATTTTTACGATTTTTGCAATTTTCAGGAATTTTTGCGATTTCTGCAATTTTCAGTCATTTTTGCGATTTTTGCAATTTTCAGGAATTTTTGCGATTTCTGCAATTTTCAGGCATTTTTGCGATTTTTGCAATTTTCAGGAATTTTTGCGATTTTTGCAATTTTCAGTCATTTTTACGATTTTTGCAATTTTCAGTCATTTTTACGATTTTTGCAATTTTCAGGAATTTTTGCGATTTTTGCAATTTTCAGGAATTTTTGCGATTTCTGCAATTTTCTGGAATTTTTCCAATTTTCAGGAATTTTTGCTATTTTTGCAATTTTTAGAAATTTTTGCGATTTTTGCAATTTTCAGGAATTTTTGCGATTTTTGCAATTTTCAGGAATTTTTGTGATTTTTGCAATTTTCAGGAATTTTTGCGATTTTTGCAATTTTCAGGAATTTTTGCGATTTTTGCAATTTTCAGTCATTTTTACGATTTTTGCAATTTTCAGTCATTTTTACGATTTTTGCAATTTTCAGGAATTTTTGCGATTTCTGCAATTTTCTGGAATTTTTCCAATTTTCAGGAATTTTTGCTATTTTTGCAATTTTTAGAAATTTTTGCGATTTTTGCAATTTTCAGTCATTTTTGCGATTTTTGCAATTTTCAGGAATTTTTGCGATTTCTGCAATTTTCAGGCATTTTTGCGATTTTTGCAATTTTCAGGAATTTTTGCGATCTTTGCAATTTTCAGGAATTTTTGCAATTTTCAGGAATTTTTGCGATTTTTGCAATTTCTGCAATTTTTGCAATTTTCATGCATTTTTGCAATTTTCAGGAACTTTTGCGATTTTTGCAATTTTCAGTCATTTTTGCGATTTTTGCAATTTTCAGGAATTTGCGATTTTTGCAATTTTCAGGAATTTTTGCGATTTCTGCAATTTTCAGGAATTTGTGCGATATTTGCAATTTTCAGGAATTTTTGCGATTTTTGAGATTTTCAGTCATTTTTGCAATTTTTGCAATTTTCAGGAATTTTTGTGATTTTTGCAATTTTCAGGCATTTTTGCGATTTTTGCAATTTTCAGGCATTTTTACGATTTTTGCAATTTTCAGGATTTCTTGCGATTTTTGCAATTTTCAGGATTTTTTGCGATTTTTGCAATTTTCAGGCATTTTTGCGATTTTTGCAAATTTTCAGGAATTTTTGCGATTTTAGCAATTTTCAGGAATTTTTGCAATTTTCAGGAATTTTTACGATTTTTGCAATTATCAGGATTTCTTGCGATTTTTGCAATTTTCAGGAATTTTTGCGATTTTGCAATTTTCAGGCATTTTTGCGATTTTTTCAATTTTCAGGAATTTTTGCGATTTTTGCAATTTTCAGGAATTTTTACGATTTTTGCAATTTTCAGGCATTTTTACGATTTTTGCAATTTTCAGGAATTTTTGCGATTTTTGCAATTCTCAGGAATTTTTGCGATTTTTGCAATTTTCAGTCATTTTTGCGATTTTTGCAATTTTCAGGAATTTTTGCGATTTTTGCAATTTTCAGGAATTTTTGCGATTTCTGCAATTTTCAGGCATTTTTGCGATTTTTGCAATTTTCAGCATTCTTGCGATATTTGCAAGTTTCAGGAATTTTTGCGATTTTTGCAATTTTCAGTCATTTTTGCGATTTTTGCAATTTTCAGGCATTCTTGCGATTTCTGCAATTTTCAGGCATTTTTGCGATTTTTGCAATTTTCAGGAATTTTTGCGATCTTTGCAATTTTCAGTCATTTTTACGATTTTTGCAATTTTCAGTCATTTTTACGATTTTTGCAATTTTCAGGAATTTTTGCGATTTCTGCAATTTTCAGTCATTTTTGCGATTTTTGCAATTTTCAGGAATTTTTGCGATTTCTGCAATTTTCAGGCATTTTTGCGATTTTTGCAATTTTCAGGAATTTTTGCGA